CGCTGATGCCTGGGGCAGAGCTTCCAAATCCAAGAAGGGCTGGAGGGCAGGTCACCTAGGTCCCTGGGAACCAAGGTAGGGATGTCTTTGCCTCCTTGAAGTGACTGGGAGAGGGCAGGGAAGGCTGAAAGGTGGAGGCTCACCTTAAAGAAGGGACTGGATGCTGGGGTACTCCAGGGAGAGCCAAAGGTGGCCGGGGCTGGTGTAGTCCAGCAGATGGTGGGGTGGGGAGGTAGATGCCAGTGTTGATGGGTGAGGATTGTGTGTGTATCTTCTGGGCTTTCTATCTCTATGTCTGGGGTGAGAGGGGAGCATCTGTGGGTCAGCGCAGAGCCTAGTAAGTAGAGAAAGGAGGGACGCCTGGATTATTTGTCCCACTGGCTTCCCGGACAGGATCCCCTTCCCCCTCCCTGTGCCCTCGATGCTGCCACGCGGCTGGCTCTGGGGAGCACCGGGGCTGGCTGCCAACAGGACTGCCGCTGGACAGGCTGGGATCAGGTGTCTGAGGCGGGAGCCAACTCTTTGCATTCCTGCCCCGCCCCTCCCCCTCTGGCCAGCAGGGCTCCCCTGGGACCCTGGTGTCCACAACCCCAATCATTTCCTTCTTTTTCCCAGGATCCAGAAGTCCTGGCACCTAGGAAAGGGATTTGATGCCGGACAGGAGGGGGCTGGGTGTACCTGGGTCCTGAGCAGTCCTGGGGGCAAGCCTCCCACTCCTGGCAACACTGAAGGCTGATTTGCATGTAACTCCACTATTCATTTCTTCTCCGTCCTGGAGAGAAAATGGTCAGAATAGCAGCATAAAGGATTTAGGTTAGATTACAGAAAGAAGAACTTCCAAGATTCGAGGAGCATGAGGCTGAGGGACAGGAAATGGACGTGTGTGATGTCTGTGGACTCTTGGAGCCTTTCTTAGGGAAGAAAGGAATCCTCTAGCATGGAGGCTGAGCTGACTGTCCCTTATTTTGGGTTTGAGTGGCTAGAGATGGGACTCTATAGGGAAATGGGCTAGTGTGGAATTCATAAGAGTAAAAAAATGCGGCATTTGGGGGCCAAAGGTAGAGTGGTGGGGCTGATGGGGCTACCAGTGAGGAACCTGTGGGGCAGACTGAGGTCGGAGTCAGTGGGCACATATGTGGCCTGAGGTGGGCAGATGGGTGGGCAGACCTGTGGGTAGGTCGTCTATAGGATAGAACTATACTCCTGTGGTGTTTGGAGAAGGGCGGGGGCCTCTGAGGTCTCCTTGGCCTGGGGTCTCTGTGAGTCTCTGTGTCTCTGTCTCACTCACCCTTCCTCTCTCAAAGCGGCCCTTGTGTGTTGGTGTTTGCGGAGCTGCCACACTCAGGGGCCAGGCTAGGGAGGGGGGTGGGTGGTGAAGGGGAGGGCGAGGCCGTGGTTTCCCGGCTCCTGGACTCAAAGGGCCTTTTTTCTGCCTGTCCGCCCCACCTCATCCACCCCACCCAGCTCTACTCTCCTGATTGCTCTGGCCCCTGCCCTGCCCTATGCTTCTCTAAAAATTTTGCTGGACTTTCTTTGGGATTTTTCCAATCTGGACCTGATGGCGTGAGGAGTGTGTGTACCAGGGAGCAAGTGAAGGAAAGGTGACCTTTGTCTTCCAGGGAGTTTGAGCCTGAGGAAGCTGAATTCTAGGTGGTTGGGGGGATGGCCTGGGTCTCAAATCTTTGGATCCAAGAGGTGGGGGTAGTGGGGCAGGGTTGAAGTTCCAGGTGTGGGGAACTTGCCCGGGTTTTGGGCAAGGACTCTGATGGGATCCACAGATGTATGGCTCAGGGCCCTGGACCAGCTCCGGGTCCTCGTGGCAGCTTCTGCCCCCACCCCCCCACCCCCAGTCCATCTCCCAAGCCAGGGGTACAGGCTCCTGGGGTGGCTCTTTCTGCTATCTCCTTCCTCAGCATGGTCAGAGTTGTCCCCACCTCCCCAAATGCGGGCACTGCAGCAGTTTGGAGCCCCATCCCCTAAGATTTGCCTCTCTGCTCCCTCCCAAGTGGCCCCCCCTGCACCTCCTGTGCCCAGGATGATCGATTGCCCAGATGTTGTTTGTGCTGGAGATAGGGGAAAGAGGCCAGAGACCCAGAGACCCAGAGATATGGAAAGGGAGTGAGAGAGGGAGAAAGACAGGGGAGAGAAAAGCATAGAAAGAGCATGAGAGAGGGGCGCCTGGGTGGCTCAGTTGGTTAGGCGACTGCCTTCGGCTCAGGTCATGATCCTGGAGTCCCGGGATCGAGTCCCGCATCGGGCTCCCTGCTCGGCGGGGAGTCTGCTTCTCCCTCTGACCCTCCTCCCTCTCATGCTCTCTGTCTCTCATTCTCTCTCTCTCAAATAAAATAAATAAAATCTTTAAAAAAAAAAAAAAGAAAAAGAAAAAAAAAGAAAGAGCATGAGAGAGGTGGAGGAAGACAGAAGTGACAGGGAGACAGAAAGATCAACAGATCCAGAGACAAGAAGAGTGAGAGACAGAGAAGGGGAGATGGTGGAGAGTAGAGAGAAATCCACAGGTTGAAAGACAGAGATGGGGAGAGACTGAGCAAGACACACTGGGAGGGAGATGGGCAGGGGTCATGTGGAGCTGAACACAGGGCCAGTGCTGCCCTCTTCCAGGTGACTCTGGTTTCCTATCCATTCAGGGCCCATTCAGGGGAAAGTAAGGGAGAGGTGACCTTTGCCTTCAGGGAGCTTGAGCTCCAGGAAGCTGAGTTCTGGACTCCAAATGCCCCCATATCTTGGCGCTCCTGAAGGTGTATCCCTTCTCCTGATCCTCATGGACTCTCCCAGGTGCACGCCCTGTGGATGTGCTCCGGGCCCTGAGGTTCCCCTCCCTTCCTGATGGCGTCCAGAGGGCAAGAGGCATCTGTCTGGCTGATGTGGCCTACCGAGTATCCCGACCAGCCCAGCTCAGTGCACCCACCCACCAGCTCTTCCCAGGTATGGGTGACATGCTGGAGTAGCGAGAGCTGGAGGAGGGCCTGGAGTGGGGTCTAGAATCAGACACCAGAAGGGAAAGGTTTTATGGCTCTTTTTGCCTCTCATTCCACCTGGTTGTGTCTCTCTCGGGTACCAGGAGGTTTTCCCAAAGATTTCTCATTGCTGACTGCTGTCCGGACCCACCCTGGCCTCCAGGCTCCCCTCCTGACTCTCTACAGTGCCCAGGGTGTCCAACAGCTGGGCCTGGAGCTTGGCCGACCCTTCCGCTTCCTGTATGAGGACCAGACTGGACGGCCTCGACCCCCGGCTCAGCCAGTCTTCCGAGGCCTCAGCCTAGCAGATGGCAAGTAAGTCAGTTTGCTCCTCTGGTCTGCCTGGACTGGCCTTTCAGGAGCTTCCCTCTGGCCACTGGCCCCAGAACCCCCAATCCCTGAACTAGGAAGCCTTTTGGCCACACC